AGAGATGTCAGCCCTGACTCCCAGCAATAAGAGAAAGCAATAAGGTAAAGAAGGCCTAGAAAAACCCAACAGTGAAAATACCATCATTTTAACGGCTGAAAAACCTAATGCTACAGGCTGAACAGATGGTTCAGCACCAAGGAAGAATGAAGTCTCAACTCTGATGTTTGTAGCCGTGCTAGCTCTGCTGAGCCGTCAGGTAAATGGGTCCAGGGAGAAGGTATTGGACACATTTTCCAGACCCACCTTTAGTATATCCAGTGGTGTGGAATATAGAATCCATGCCAGTATTTACAAATGACACATCTATGATAGGAGGTTTTACATATACCTGTACTCCCATCCATGGGACTGAACTTAATTATACTGGCTGTAGTGGTTAGCTGCCTATGTGTTGGTCCCATGATAAACATGCTGCCTATCTTTTGAGGAAAAAAATAGCATTTGGCGGACCTAGGCCAGTCAACCATATTGGTCCCTGGGACTGAAAGCCATATGTTAGAACAGTCATTAAAATGGGACTTTCTCATAACAAGCCAGTCATTTCTGTAGAGCATCTACTAATACCTCACTGTCCTAAATGTTAGGCACCTTTCCTAAATGGATGGATTGTGCAAATACCTTGCCAGTACAACATAAAGCATCTAGAAATGGTGGATATATTTTAGACTGGTTCCCTAGAATTGACAGAAGACAATTATGCAAGGATGCCATGACCCCTGGAGGCTCTGTTGGTAATATCTTGACCTTCAGTGAAGGTGGTATCCAGAAAGATGTTTGGTGCTTGATTGCTGCCTCAGAATTTTTGCATTATACTGACGTACCTGTACCTGATTTTGTAGGCAGGGATTGTAAAGAGGGTTCCTGCTATGGCCTGCAGGCCTGTGTCCGATCTCCTTATGCTTTGATTGTGAGATTTAAGGGAAAGGATAATAAATATCTTGTAGCCTGTAAAAAAATGTAATTTAACTAATTGTATAACTGGATATAATAGAGTGAAAGGAACAGTGATACTTCACCAGCCCTCTTCTTATTGCCAGCTAACATTTCAGAACTATGGTATGCTGATGTTGGCATTCAGGTCTTGCAACAGATGCATGCCCAGGAGACCAGACCTAAGTGAGCTCTTGGTCTCATAATACTTGGAGTGGCTGCTTTGGTTTCATCGTTTGCTTCCATGGTCACATATTGGTGGCTATATCTCAAAAAATTTCAGCATGCGAATTTTCTTAATAATTTGGATCAAAATACTTCCAAATCACTCCATAATCAGATAAACATTGATGAAAAGATTGAAACTACATTGAATGCCTTAGAAGCCACTGTCATAAATATCGGTAATGAGATTTCTGCCCTAAACTTTAAGGAAAGGTTGAAATGCCATGCTGATTATAAATATGTGTATGTTACTGCAGCCAAACACAATGCTTCCCCATTGGGATTGGGAAAAGGTTAAAAACCATCTATTGGGTGTTTGGCAGAACAAATACCCTGGATCTTCTGGAGTTACATCGTCATATACAGGATATTCAAAAAAGTAAATTGACCTTTTGGATCCTACCTCTTTAGCTGATCAAATGCTTCAAGAATTAAATGGCTTTATTCCTGGAAACATGCTGAAGCATTCTGCATGGTATATTAATGAGATATATATATATATATAAACACGGTATATTACATGGTATATTAATGGCTGTCTATGCTATTCATTCTCTTTTGTATTGTGATGATAGGATGTTGTGCTCTCAGAACAAGAATCTGGGAACTCAAGATAATGGCTCATCATTTACTCTTCCAAAGCAAAAAGGGAGAATATGTCAGGGGCTGCCTTCCCCAAGAGATAGGCACCCCTGCCAGCCTTGAGTAATGAGGGTACTGGACTGGCATCACATGCCGAATGCTGTGAGAAGTAAGTGTCCTTTACCTTCGCTTGGCAGGGAAGTGCCTCAGCTCTGGGCTTGGCCATTACCCAGTGGGATTGGGCTACCTGCTTTTTGGTAATACTATCCCTTGACCTATTTGGGTGGAATAGTCTATCGAATGTCTTTTCCATAATAAATAGAAGGGCTCCGGGTGCACTTGCTTTCTTGCTTTATTGCCTTCTGGCATGGAAAAGGACCCCTGAGTTTGCAGATCCATCCCTGACCCCTGCTTAGTGAAACAATTACTTCTGTGTCAGTGTGGTCTCTTCAGCACCAGCCCAAACCATGCAGAGTTATCCTGATTTCATCGCTTGTGCAAGGCATGGGTGATAGATCATCTTTGCCTGTTTTTTTTGCTAACCATTTTCTGAAAGGATCTTTATCATTTCAACATTGTTTTTTCTTCTCTTCCACTACTATGTTTATATGCCTTCTTAAATTGGAGGATTGTGATGTTTGTGGAACTTCTTTGAATTTTACCTTCATTTATGATGATTTTTATTTTTTAAAAATATGTTTCTAACTTTAGTTTTATGGGTTTATGAATAATACCCTTCTGTTGACAGGGTCAGAATTTGAGGTACTTGGGATAATGTTTTGTTATTTTTGTGAACACTGTGGTGTGAATTATTCACTTTGGGGAGAAGTAAATCCAGCAACAAGGGAAGAGGAAAGGAGGGAGGGAGAGAGAGTGAGAGAAAGAGAAGGGGGAGGGAGAGAGAGAGTAAGAATGAGCGAGGGACAGAGAGGGTATGACTATGATCATACTTGAATTCATTCTTTGTTGTAGGCAGCCCAAAGTACTGACCTATCCATGTCAACTAGAAAAAGGTTTTACAGCTTGTTTAAACAAGCTTTTAGATTTTAGATAGAAGAAATGCCATGAGAGACATTGCAAGGAAATTGCATAAAACAAGTCATTCTGTATAATGCCATCTGTTAGTTCTCCATATTGGGAGCCCGGATATAGTAAATGGGTGTGTGTGGAGCCTGAATTAACAGTGAATGTTGCAATGAGCACCTCTGCTCACATCTTGGACATCACAGGTACAAGACCAAACACAGAAAACTAAACAAAGCTTAGATAATAATTAAGTCCTTAGAGAAGGAAAGTCATCACTAATTGAAAACAGAACTGTCACTGAACCAGATTCATTAATGTCACATTTTAAAAGGCCAAGATTTTGAGGCCAAGCATTGGGGAAGGACAAAGATTGGTTTGGACAGCTAGGAAGCCAAAGAAGGTGGGAGGCTCTGACCAGCAAAGCCACCACAGGGAGCCTAGTGTGCAGAAGGGCCACACAGTGTGGGGGAAGAAGGAGCAGGTGGGGAGTGGGCAGGAAGGACTGATGACTGGAGACATCTAGGGCCACTCCCAAGGCCTGGATGGGACATGGTTTTAGTTCGCTTTGTCTTACTGTACTCAGCCTTTATGGGAGGAGATAAGTTAGACGCATTTAGGTCAAATCAACCTTGTATTTTATGAGCCACTTGAGAAAGGACAAATAGGTTCAGCTGGAGAGTTGAACAGAAACCTGATCCAAGCTTTTAGAGCATCACAGAAGAGAGACACTACAAGAAGGCCAAGATGGCAAGCTTCTCAATTCCGCTTTTTAAGCTAACCATTGCAAATCTGCAGGATCAAGTGAACAGTTATGGCCTATACCAAAATGGTCTTCAAATTCCTTTAAAGAATCCTCAGCAAATCTTATCATCATTGCCTCATATAAGAAGTGTTTCCCACATCAAAGTACTGGGAGACAAATACTATATAGCTCAGCAGCATGACCTCCAAAATTAGTGAATTTTAAATTCATCTCAAAGCAGGCAGAGGTAGAGGTATTTATTTGGATTTTGCCTTAATTGCAGGATTATTGGAGAAACATTTCTCATACCCACAAGAGATGAATGAGTGAACAGTCAAGTTCAGTACTAAATGTACACCCAAGGAAAATCTTACCTTTGTTTTTGTCATGCTTACCAAATTTCTGCTTTAAATAGGGGAATATTGGTGAGGTGGGACCCACAGTCATTTACAGGAGAATAGGTAACTAAACTGTTTCCCATGTCTCAATTCAATCCTGAACTCCTCTATACATGTCAGCTCAGATAAAACTCTATTTCAAATGCTGAGGAGAAATAAGAGTCTATGAATATATTTTACCACTCAGCATTTATGTAAGTTTTAAAAGTTTCATATACACCACTTATTAATTATGCTATAAACACCGCTGCAAATGAAAAAAAAAACTATGTTGAAAATTATACTCCACCAGATCATCATCATAATAAATTCTGGAGAGATATGTAATAGAAAAAAGAATCTTAACTGCTTCTACATTTTATTTCTTGTTTTGAAAATGAGACATAATTGTGGATGATAATCATGTTATTTTTGTAGGCTTCTATGTGTTTAAAATATTAAAAAGACTTTTTAAAAGGTAGAATGTGATGAAGTGAATAGGGAAATCCCAGTCATTTCTCAGAAGCAAGTGTTCGGAGACACAAAAGGGATAATTGAAGGCTTCAAAATGAAGAAAATGTCTTTTATAATTATTATCAGTATTATTTTGGTGTTGAGATTTTAACCCAGGGGTATTTAGCCACTTAGCCATATCCCCAGCCCTTTTAAATATTTTATTTAGAGATATGATCTCGCTGAGTTGCAAAGTGTCTTGCTCAGTTGCTGAGGCTGGCTTTGAAGTCGGGATCCTCCTGCTTCAGCCTCCTGAGCCACTGGAAGTACAAGCATGTGCCACCATGACCCACGAAGCCACGAAGTCTTTTTTTTCAGATATTTGTAATTATACATAGTAGTTGAGTTCATACAGAAAAACTCATCCATGCACAGAAACTGATTTCAGTTCATGATGCCCTTTTCCTGCTGTGCCCCTCCCTTCTCCCGTTCTCCTTCCCCCTCCCATTCTCCTTCCTCTGTGTGACTAGACTTCCTTTGCTCATCTGTTAATGTTTATTTCATTGGTTCTTTATGTTATTCTTTCCTTCCCTTCCACCTTCCTGTAGAAATAGTTTTAAAGCTAAGAATCCCTCTGTTCTGTACACATCCCAAGACAGGAAACAATGTCAGTAGCCATAAAAGATCCAGAATTTTTTGGACATTACTCCCATGGGAACAGCTCTTTGGGGAAACCCGCCATCTTCTCCTGGTAAACTTTATCAAAGGCTTCAGCTTGGGCCACTGTGAGGTGATTCTTCCAGTCCCCACAGATGCCTGGAAAACATGAAGTAGACACAGATCAGATCTAGGGAGAGGTCTTAAGGAGGCAACCTCCTCCCTGCTCTGTGTAGACAGCAGAGTGACCCTGGGACATTGGTGAGGCCTTCTCCTGCCTGGCCACCATGCCCATTTCCACGTCTATCTGCCTGGAAAGTGTGTCCTAACTTCCCTCCATTTTCAAAGCAATCTGTACAGAATCCATACGCAGTGAGGCTGGGTATAAATCAGAAGATCTGGACTATAACTAATTCTGACCACTTGGGTTTGAGCACTTTGGTCCAAACCAACAAAATTTCTGACCTGGTGATCAGAGCAGGTCACAACTAGTGTTGTGCTTTAACTTTTCTCTGTGAGAAGTTCTTTGGCACATGGCACCATGAGGATCCATTGGCAGAGCCAGTGGCTCCAGTCACTTCTGGCTCATGTCTCCCCAGATTTCCAGTCTCCTTCAGCCAAGTTCCCTGGTGATGTTGAGGCTGTAGGTGTAGGGTCCTTGTTGATTCAGACTCCATCCTGGGACTGCTCATTGGCTCTCTCTGCTCCATGACAGTCTTCTGATTCAGCCTCAAGCTTGCCAGGCTGCCCCCTCCTCAGGGTGTTTACCTTTCCTGCTCCTTACCCAGAGTGCTGTCCTAGCAGACACATTATGCCATGTCCGTTAGCCTAACTCAACTGTTGACTCCAGTGCAGTGACTCAGTGGGGCTCTCAGTTCTAACCACACAAATCCATCCTTGCTGACTTCACAGCAATGACCAAAATGATATGTTCTGTGCATTTCCTTTTAGAATGTCCATATGGAATGCATGTCTCAAATATTAGGACATCAAAAAATTTTATAAACTGCATGATTTAACCCTTCAAGGAATGACATAGTATATGTTTAATAAATAATTGTTGAAAGAATTAATAAAGAATGAGTAATATACTAGCATAAAACCCTGTTTTACAGAAAAGGTTTTACAAAATGCCCTGGCAGGATGACCCTGTGGGAAAGTGGTGGGGGTCAAATGGAAACTAAAGTTATGAACATAGGTCAGACCCTTTTCATCTACCTGCCTGGAAAGTGTGTCCTGACTGCCCTTCTCTCCCAAACCATCCTGCACAGAATCCCTAGGCAGTGATGCTGTCTATCAAATAAGAACACTTGCACTATATCTAACAGACCACTTCTTGTTTCAGAACCTTGCCCAAGCTATCAAAATTTCTGACCTAACTTATCAGACCAGATCACAACTAGTCCCTCTGCTTTTGGCCATTCTCTGTGAGAAGTTCCTCTGCATGTGGCACCATGTGGGTCCATTGCCAGATTCGGTGGCTCCAGTCCCTTGTGGCTCAGAGTCTCCCAGGACGTCCAGTCTCCTTCAGCCAAGTTCCCTGGTGCTTTGAGGCTCTAGCTGTAGGGTCCTTGTTGGTTGGGACTCCATCCCTGGGAATGCCCATTTGCTCTCTCGGCTCCATGACACAGTCTTCTGATTCAGCTTCCAACATGCCAGGCTGCCCCCTCCTCAGGGTGTTTACCTTTCCTGCTCCTTACCCCAGAGTACTGTCCTAGCAGACACCTCCACCTCTGTCCATTGGCCTCACTCAAATGTTTACTCCAGTGCAGTGACTCAGTGGGGCTCTCAGTTCAGAACCGTACATCACCATCCTCATTCACAGCAATGATCAAACATGAGATGTTCTGTGTACTTCCTTTTTGAATGTGCATAAGGTATGCATTTCTAACATATTAGGGTATGAAATCACTTTTACAAATTTCCTAAGAATTAGTGCTTAAAGTAATGATATATAAGTTCAGTAAATAATGTTTGAAAGGATAAGTAAAGAATGAGTAATATACTAGCATAATAGCATGTTTTCCAGAGAAGAATTTTTTTTAAATGCACTGGCAGGGTTACCCTGTGGGAAAGTGGTTGTGGTGAAATGAAAGCTAAAGATATGGGCATAAGTCAAACACTTTATTCATTTGATTATAGCATTATTCTATGTGTCATATAAATTAGTTTTCACTTTTGAGACCAATTTCATTCATTAATAAAATATATAATAATCTCTAAACTGTTATATGCATGTAAACAATACACTCAAATGAATATAAAGTAGCAGAATGTGTAATATGTAATTGTTATCCTATAACCACTTATTCGTACCCTATTTTCATAGTAGAACAATCTTTACTGATTTCTTCTGCTAGGCCTGGGCTCTTCCACTGAGTCCCATCCCCAGCCCAGTGCTCTCTTTTCTCTGTCTGTGCTCCAAGTTCACTGTGTGGCAGAAATCCCGACCTCTTAAATATCTTTTGAAGCATTTAGTATATTTATTCCATAATTTACCATTACAGATACCTGTGAACTGGAGGAATTTTAGAAAAGTAGGTTCTGTGAGTATTTGCAGTAGACATTTTCAATAGACTTGAATCCAAGGGTGGAGATATGATTCATCGGTCTGCACAGTAAGGAGGCCTTACCCTATCTCACAGCAAATGACCCACTCCCTACTTTCTGCTGGTTGGTCTTTGTAAATCTCTTTATTTAGGGCAGTTTTCTATATTAAGTCACCAGTGGAGTAGCCCCAAAACAACCATCTTCAAAATAACCCTCCTCTCCAAGACTGAATCAACTTTCTTCAAGTGCCTACAGCCGATCCCAGGACCATGAAAACATTTTTTTTTTTTTTTGCCATAAAGGCGCATGCAAAGCTTTCTGGGCTATGAATCATTTCAAGTTGATGTGTTCAGATACCTTCACTCTGGGTGTAGGGTGGTAAACATAGAAGGCCTTCCACGAGTTTCCATACATTCTGAAAACAGAGCAGTTACCTTTTCTTGTAATTTTGAAATGCTTAGAAGAGAATTTTTCAAGCAACATTTCAAGATTGGACATCTTGTTTTCCTTCATGACCTGGAAGGAGCTGTTCTTGAGGACTGAGTCCAGTTCTTCTGGATTTAGCTTCTTTCCCAGGAACTGACCAATCTTCTCTATGGTGCTTCTTGGGTCCTACAATGTGAACAATCAAGAGTGAGGCTCTTAAGGGAAAGAAAGCAGACATGGGAAATTGGAACAGAAGTGTTAGTGTGGTGAGCCGTTTCTGTGTACTGTGGCCGCCATTACAAGATGGCGCTGGTCTCCTCTGTAGTCTGTGACAAACAACTCCTTATCAGAATGAGTTGGCACGCTGTGACTTGGCACCCTATAAGAAAAGTCCACGTGGCAGTTGTGCATTGGGGCTTTATCTGCTTTATTAAGGCTGTGGCACACAGTAGTAGTAGTAGTAGTAGTAGTAGTAGTAGTGGCAGTAGGAGTAGTGGCAGTAGGAGTAGTGGCAGTAGGAGTAGTAGTAGGAGTAGTAGTAGGAGTAGTAGTAGAGAGAAAAACAAGCTAAAAGACATGTCAAAACAAGGGCCTGAATAAACTGCTGAAAGAAGATTCCTGAGTTGCGTCTTCCTTGCGGGCAAGGGGTCGCGACAGTTAGGAGGGGTGTGGGGGAGAAAGAGGAGTGGAGTGATATCAAAATAAGAAAAGACTGAAATGTATGCTGGACCAAGGGAGAAAGAGAAAGGGGCCAAGAAGAGGCATGTGAAGTGTGTGTGTGTGATGTGAAGATTGGGGTGCATTTCCTAGAGAGGCTGAGTTTAGGACACCCCAAAGGCAGGCGTTGGGATTTCAAGATAAGGCAAGGAGATAAATGTCCCAAAGATTAATCCTTACACCCAATGATACTGTGTTTCTTAACTGACACTTGGATAACACATAGGGCTTTAAAATATCCCCCTAAACTTGACCCCATGATTATTGATGTATATTCCTGGGAGATCACACCAAGGAAATAGGTCTTGGTAAGAAGAAACAATTTGCTTGAAATCCTAGACCTTCCTCTTAGGATGATAGTGCTTTTTATTAGTTTTTTTTCCCCCCGTGAGCCTCAGGCATTATATAAAAAAGACACACAACTGTGTCAATAATTTACAAAGAGTGTTGGGTGATTGGAGAGGAAAATTACAGGGACGTGTGGGAGCTTGCTGCTGAGGTGGCTGAAGGTGGCATCAAGGCCCTTGGTGAGAAATGACTTCATGCTGAGGACCCAGCAGAACAGGAAGCAGCTGCAGGAAGGTGACTAGGGTCCTTTCTCCAGGAGAAGCAGATTCCTGTGCCTGGGGCACCTTCTCTGTCCCCAAGACACACTCAGAGGCCAAGTGTTTTCTAAAGGTCTGTTCACTCTTCTACTTTTTTTTTTTTTTCATTTTTTACCATTTCTGAAAAAGCTTCTAAAAATTTTAAAGCTTTCAGTTACATATGGACCTATTAAACTCACACAGAGCACTGGGCATTTTTTGTGCAGTTTATGTGACATTTTTCTGCTCTAGCAGAAAAATAAAGTTAGAATAAGTATCTATTTAATGTGTAAAAATCCAATCAGTATAAGTGCATATCTACAAACTCAGGTAGACATTATTGACTTATTTTGGAACATTCAAAATCCTCTCCATTTGCTGTTTTGAAATGTATGATTGATTACTGTTCTCCACAGTCACTACCCTGTGCTACAGATCATTGGAAGTCATTGCATGACCCAGTTGTACCCTGCACCCACCCACCAGGGCTGAGTACCATCTGCAGGCCTTTCCTGTTACTCCATCTCCTGACCCCCTCATAATAGCTACGCAGTTGTGACTTCTCACATTCACCTCACCTCATCAGTCAAGGGGAGAAGCCAGAGAGGTGAACCAACTCTGGGATTTAATGCTTTCTGCCCAGTCTCTTCTGATGATGAGGTTTTGTGAGCATTACAGGTCCTGAATGCAGAAACCTTGGCAGCCCCAGGTGATAGCATAAGCCGTGGCCCTCAGCTTTTGTGTGTAGAAGGGTTCTATAGAATCGCCAGATGCAATAAACTGGAAGACATGAAGAAAGCTTGGGGATGGTGAAGCAGAAGCACAGCAAGGGAGACCAAGCTTTCATATATTTTTAGTGACCTCCAAGAGGCTGCACTTTGACAGCCTCTTGGTGGAGTGGAGACGATGAGGACCTGGGATGTCGGAGGGAGAAGGATGGTGTGGAGCTGACAGGCTCTGACTATGAGAGGGGGGCTCACCTTCTGCAGCTCTTCATAACTCAGCATCAGGACGTTCTCTCTGTCTCTCATGGACATCCAGCCACGAATGTGCTCGAACCATGATCCATAGGGCACTGTGGGGCAGGCACAGGGGGTTCAGGTTACATACTACCAGGGGCTGGGCTGTCCCTGTCACTCTTCACTCCCTGACAGCTGGATTCATGTACAATCGAACAATCCTCCTCAAGCTAGGTAGTGAAATAGAGAGAGGGACCATTCCTGAATTCATTCTATGAAACCATATCATACTGTTACCCAACCCAGACAAAGACACATTGAGTAAGAGAACAACAAGAACACAGACACAAAAAGATGTATTGAATATCAGCAAATCATATTCTACATGAAGATTATACACACCACACATTGTGTTCACACTTTAAGATTATACAATTACAACATGTTGATTTCATTCCAGGGATGCAAAGTTGGGTAACATATGCAAATCTATAAATGTATTTCCCCATATCAATAAAATTTGCCTTGACAGAGGAACTTGGCTGAGCATAACAAAGGCTATATGTGACAAACCCAAAGCCAATATCATGCTAAATGGGAAAAAACTGGAAGCATTTCTATTAAAATCAAATACAAGGTAAGGATGTCCACTCACACTACTCCCATTCAATGGAGTTCTTGAAACTCAGGCCAGATAAGTCAGGCAAGAGAAGGGAAATCAAACATTCATAGGTAGAAAAGAAAGAAGCCAAATTATCAGTGTTTGCAAATGATATGATGTTATGCTTTGAAGACCCAAAAAGTTCTCTACAAAAACAGTTCTAGAACTGATAACAAAATTCAGCAAAGTTGCAGGATGCAACATTCATATACAAAAATCCAGAACTTCTGTTTGTAACAATGATGAATCTGCTGAGGAAGAAATCGGGACCACAATTCCATTCAGAAGGGTCTCAAAATATACCTAGGTAGCTGGATGTGGTGGTGCACTCCTGTAAACCCAGCAGCTTGTGAGGCTGAGGGAGGAGGATTGTGAGTTCCAAAGATAATGTCAACAATTTAATGAGTCCCTGTGTAACTCAGTGAAACTGTGTCTCTAAATAAAATATAAAAACAAAGGGTTAGGGATGTGGCTCAGTGGATTACATCATGGGTAACACACAAACAAACAAATACAAACAACAACCACAAAATCCTAGGAATAATCTCTCCAAAGAGGTGAAAGACCTCTCAATGAAAATCATAGAACACTGAAGAAAAAACTTGAAGAAGACAGTATAAAGTAAAAAGCCCTTCCATGTTCTTATATAGGCAGAACCAAAATTGCCACATTACCAAAAAATCTACAGACTCAGTGTAATTTCCATCATATTCCAATGATATTCTTCAAAAAATATAAGAAACAGTTCTCAAATTTAAATGATATATAAAAGACTAAGCTTAGCCAAAGTAATTCTGAGCAATGATGAAGTGCTGGGGATGTGGCACTTAACTAGCACCTGAAAGCCCAGGTGTAATCCCAATGCCAAATAATAATAGAAATAATGCTGAAGTTATCCCATTTCCCACTATCAAATCATACTAAAGAGGTACAATATCAAAAAAGGTACTAATATCAAAACAGACACATAGATCAATTGAAGACAATAGAAGACACAGAGGCAAATACTCAAGGACAGAGTCATTTGATCCTTAACAAAGACACCAAAAGTAAATATTGGGAAAACACGGCCTGTTTAATAAATGGGGCTCAGAAAACGGAATATCTACATGTTGAAGATGAAGCTAAATCCTGCACAAAAGTCAAGTCAAAGTGGGCTAAAATTTATAGAAATTAGACCACAAACACTGTAACTATTGTAGAAGATATGGAGCCTACGCTCCAGCATATAGGTGCAGGCATGACTTCCTATAAGACTCCTAGTGTTCAGGAAAGGAAACCAAGAATTGATAAACGGAATGACATCAAGTTAAAAAGCTTCCACCCAGCAAAGAAGAGGTGGCCTACAGGTTGGGAGAAAATTTTTGCCTCTTTGACAGAGATTAACATTCAGCATATATAAAGAACTCAAAAATCATAACACCCCAAACCAAATAACCCAATCAATAGATGAATAACTGAATAATCATTTCACAAATGGAGGAATACAATGGCCAATAATTAGATGACAAAAATTTCAACATCTTTAACAATGAGAGAAAAGCAAATCCAAGCTACATGAGATTGCATCTCACTCCAGCTAGAATGGCAATCATCAAGAACACAAATACTAATAAGTGCTGGTGGGAATGTGAGTGAAAAGCAGCACTTACACACTATTGGGATTGGAAATTAGAACAACCATCATGGAAATCCGTGTGGAGTTTCCTCAAAAGACTAGGAATGGAACCACCATATGACCCAGTCATAGAACTCCTTGGTATTTATCCAAAAGAATGAAAGTCTGCACACTATAGCAGTATAGCATACCTATGTTGATGCCAGTTCAACCCACAGCAGCTAATTTAGGGAACCAGCCTAGGTGTCCCCTGACTGATGAATGGATAAAGAACATGAGGTCCATGTACATGATGGATTTTACTCAGTCATAAAGAAGAGCTAAATTATGCCATTTGCAGGAAAATGGGTGGAACTGGAGATCAGAATGTTAATTGAAAGAAGCCAGACTCACAGAGTCATGGGTTGTCTGTTTTCTCTCATATGTGGAAAAAGAATAAAATAGGGTTACCAAAAAATTAGGAGGAAAAAACAGTAGAGTAGAGGAAGCAGAATTATATGTCACAGAACACTCACTGTTTCCTTCCATGAACCACTGAAAATACTGTTCCAGTGACTCTGGTTTCTTAGAAACATGTGTCATAGTCCAAAAATAATAACCTGACACAAGAACATCTTTGGGATTTCTCATGATATATATCACCTTAAATTAAGGAAAAATGAGAGAAAGAAAAATTAGTCTGAATCAGTCATTTCCCACCTTGATATTAATCTTCACCCAGGCAGTTCTTACTTAGTCTTGATTAAAAATCAGTGGGTGGGCTGGGGATGTGGCTCAAGCGGTAGCGCGCTCGCCTGGCATGCGTGTGGCCCGGGTTCAATCCTCAGCACCACATACAAAGATGTTGTGACTGCCGAAAACTAAAAAATAAATATTAAAAAATTCTCTCTCTCTCTCTCTCTCTCTCTCTCTCTCTTTAAAAAAATCAATGGGTTCCTTTCATGAATTAGTTATAGCATTCATTAATCAAATACTTTAACATTCCTTTTTCTATATTTATGTGCTAGGAATAGAAGAAGAATAGCTTTTCTCTTCATTCTGGGATATTAGTCTACTTAACATGGGAAGCTGCTGGATAGCTTTAAATGGTAAGTGGTGAGGTATGTGTATGCTTTCCCATAATCATCCACAGCAGAATGGATCAATAAATTATAGTATATGCAGATTTATGACAATACACAGTCATTCACACAGTCAAGACCCTATAGGAATCTCACCGATATTACATTCATATACCAGGAATGTATTTGTGCAAAATTCAAGAATAAGCAAAAGTATTCTGTAGTTAAAGTACAGGGAGTGTTTCCCTCAAGGGGTGGACCCTGTTTGGTAGAAGGGGCCTGGAAGACTTTCTGGATGGTAGAAATGTCTGGTCCAGATGATAGTTGCCCAACTGTGTACTTAGGTGCATACTAAGAGGCTGGTGTTTAAGATTAGAGATCACACACACACACACACACACACACGCACGCACGCATGCACACACATGCGCGCACACACACACACACACACAGGCACCACTTGGTACTGGAACATCAGAATTTGACTTTGTATTTGCACTGACTCTCTTCGTGTTGTTACTAGAGGTCTCGGTCTCGTATCACCTTAGGCCTGAGTTTAATCAAGTTGAGGTTAATAAACCCAACAGAAGACATGGAAATAGGTCCATTTGGAAATAGGTCTATTTGGACAACCTCACCATCTGGAACTTTATTACATTTCCAAGGCAGGAGAATATTATCTAGGTTTCCTGGTGTTTTTAAAATAAAAACATGAAACATTCAGAAGTCAACACACACCTTAAGAAAGGATGTTTCTAAATTTAGTCTTTGGCATGTTAGATCTTGGATATCCACTGTCTGTGCTGATCATCCATCAGCCATAGGGAGGCTGGAGTGGCTGCTGATCACAGAGCACAGTGATGTGCTGTGGGCTGCTGTGGTTAGATAGCTGGCCACAACCCCTGAGCAGGGCCCTGGATTTATGCAGTTATCAATGTATGCGCACTCTCCTCCCTATATGGGCAACACTGATTGGGTGCTTCCACCTACCTGGCAGGAGGGTTTTATTGAATTAATATGGGTAAACATATACAAGAGCTTCCAAGATGGGCAACTCTAGAGTAAATGCAGTTATAAATTCAGGTTGAACATAAGAAGTGGTTTTCTAAGTTTCCGACATTAGCCAGTCACTTTACCCTGAATTCAGGGTAGGCTAATTTGTGGAATGGTCCACATCCTTGTACTCAAGCATGGTCTGAGTTGTGGCCACAATACCTCACCTAATGTCTAATAACCTGAGGTCTCACCCAACCTACCCAATGAGTAGACACCCAGAAAGATACAGGAGTTATCTGGGCACATGGAAGGGCAAAAACATTGATAAAACTTTAGGAACTGACCTTGGCCTTGGATGTGAACAAAGATGTAGGGAAGAGATGGAAGGGGAGGTGAGAGGTTAGGAGTCTTGGGCCCTCTCTCTCCTTTAACAATTTATTACCCCTATTGGTCTCTAACCAGGGTGATCGTTCCCAGATTGGCACAGACTGAATCCACTTGGTGTCCCCTTTGGAGTGAATCAGGCAGAGAATTTCAATCACCCAGTGACTTCCTAGATAAGGAAGGAAAAAGTGATGGTCACTCATTTCAACATGACTTGTGAACAAAAAATTATGATAAAATACCTAACATACACTTTACCATTATACCCATTTAAAACATGCACTCAAGTATGCTAAGCAGCATTAAGCACATTCTTATTGTTGCTCAGCCAATGTCAAGAATCATTTCTTCTTGAAAAACTGGAACTCTCTGCTTATTAACTACATATCCCCACTTATTCCATCACTCGGTTCTTGGAACTCACCATTGGAATTTCTGTTTATATGAACTTCACTATATTAGATATTTTGCACCAATGGAATCATATGGTATTTGTCCTTTTGTGTTCAACTTATTGCATTTAGCTTGATGCCCTCAATATTAATCTATGTGTAGAAGGTGTCAGACTATTCTTCCTTCTTAAGGCTGAATCATATTACATTGTGTCAACATGTCACATTTTGTTTATGCATTCATCCATGAATGGATTTTAGCTTGCTTCCTCCTCTTGGCTCTTTGCTGGTATCCTTTTAATATGTTATCACTCCCTGTGGGGCAAGTGCATGGAGTACTGCATACACGGCATACATTAAGGGTGTCTGAGTGGCAGGCCACTCCCCTTCTGTTTGGCATGTGAGCGTCAGGCCTCTTGCCCTGTAGGCACAGCCCTGGGTGTGAGGCCATGTGTTGTAGTCCCTGTGCTTGCTCCATGGCTGACTCCTCGATTGGTTGCTGCAAGGTCAGTTAGCGGAAATTGCATTGTGCATCTGAGTGGCAGGCCACTCCCCTGTGCTGGGTGTGTGAGTGACAGTCTGCTTACCCTGTAGGCACAGCCCTGGGCATGAGGCCATGTGTTGCAGTCCCTGTGCTTGCTCCACAGTCCACTCCTCAATTGGTTGCTTCGAGGGCAGTTAGCAGACATTGCATTGGTGGCTGCCTGTAATCTGCTTAGCTACTGCCTGAATATATATACATAGTAACTGTGCAATAAAATCAGACCTGCTTCCTGCCTGGTCTCCAGAGGTTCTGATTACTGACTCTGCAACCACACTCTTCTCTACACTGTTCCGTGGACCTCCTTGCTGGATGAGAGACCCCATGAAATTCCCCTTGACTCTTCAGCCCCATGCCTCTTCCAATGACATTGGCCTCAATCCTCACCCCTGCAATGCTCCTGTCCCTACTCCTATAGTCCTCATAGTCCCTTGAAATTTCTAGGCTCATTTCTGATTTCCAGCCATTGCCCATGCTTATTATCCTACTCTAAATTATCCCTCTTCACCTCATGACCTCGATTTCAGTCTTTTTATCTCTATTTAGCTACTATTTTGCTATTAGATGTTCATGGGTCACGCTCTTCCACCCACTTCTGCCAGGCAACCACACACAAATGCCTCAATCTGCTTAGGATTCACTCCCACATCTCCCTCCAATAACTTAGATGATCCTTGCTCAGCAGTACACCACTCTGCACTAGTCTGAATTGAAGTGGCCTGGGGCACTACCCTTCCTCCCCAAGCAGGGCTCGCTGGCAGGTACAGCACATGCCACCCCTCTGCTGAGTAAGCGAAGAATGAAGCCATTGCCTTTCCCATTGATGGTCTCTGTCCTGTTTCCTTACCTGATTTGGGGTAGGTCACCAATACTGTGTCTTCATCCTTTATCACAAACTGAGCACATGCTTCTTTCAAAACTTCATAGCTGTAACCAATCACAGGGAAAGGTATCTCTTCAAACCACAAGTAGTCATCTGTCATGGTGATGAGCTCTCTGTGCGAGGTGCAGGGGTTCCTGCTGTAGCCACCACTGGATGTTGGGGGAGGTACTGGGAGACTGGACTTTGAAGTAAAGTCAAAGGAATTATTAACTTTTTTGAGTTATCAAATTAACTGGTTTTAAAAACAAATTGTGACTGGTGGTCCAAAGTTTCATTGTATTCAGCAATTTTGGACTCATTCATAAAACATGAAGATCAGGATCTGAGAAACAATTCACAGCAGGACTCCACAGCACATGCTGCAAAAAAAAAAGCCACTGATGAATCCATGGGACCTAAAGAAATCCATAATTTTATTTTTATTCGCATTTTGAGCAATTTTCAAAAGAGAAGTTTACATGCGACCAATAGATACAGTGTTCAAATAGTAGCCTGGAGGGACATTGAGGACCCGTGGACTGAAAACCCTTTGGGTCTAAAGGATAAGAACCTGTTTTGGAGTCAGCAGACATTGGGGTGGGCTCTATCTGAACTCCAGGGTCCTGTCCTCCCTTACCTTCTGATTAACATGTGGGAATGGGTTTTAAGATTCAGCATTTAGAGACTGAGATAAGAGAATTTTCATATCTACTACATCAAAAGTAAATCAAAGCTCTGTTTTATTCTTGGTCTAGCACTTTCAGTTTTCAGTGGACTCTGGGAGTCAAAATCTTCCCATGTTCAATCAACATGCTCACTCGGGGGTGGGGGGCGTAAATAGCAATCTAATGATTCCAGGAATGCTTAAAGAAACACCTACATTCTTATCAGTTCCCCATGGGCTTCTTTCAGCTAAAATGAAAACTATCTAATGAATGATGTAAACCTCACATTATAGGCATTATAGGCAATGGTGTTACATCTAGAATATTTGATAATCAGGAGCAACAACACTTTCCACATTTCCTGTTAATTCTTGATTGTATTAATAGACAGAGCACATGCATATTAAATTAGTAGCTGTTGTCACTGAGTATAAATCTGACATATCCACAGACTTTTGTGTGCATTTTGGGGAGAATCACCAAAAATTAGTGCATGAGTACTATTCTGGGTGAAAGAAAAGAGCAATTGAATCAGGCAAATATTCAGGGGGATATATGTGCTCTGGAGAGAAGTAACACTATGAACAAGGAACTAATATATACAAAAAAGAAACAAGAGAGTACCTGTAAATATGTACAACTTTATGTGTCAGTTTTTAAAATAAAAATAAATTTATACATACCCAACAAAAGATGAAAGAGCTAACTTTTATAAAAGGGGAAACTGTTTCATGAATTTCATTTCATTCTTAGTATTGCCAAATAATTCTAGAGAGTTATGGCAATCACAGTGACAGTGCCAATGTCCCATAATTATGGGAGGCTGACATTTCTCTGCAGCTTTCTGAACAGGTAATAAATGTCATCCATTACATCGTCCCACCAATCCCATGAATGAGGAAGTTATGACAGAGTAAAATTGTTAATTTTCTTATGGTTTAAGAGTGCACTATTGTTTTACAGGAATAGTTGGTGTAATATTCACATATTCATATATGCATGAAATGTGATTTGCCCCACTTTAGTCCCTGTGACTCTGGTTTCTCTCCTTTACTCCCCCCCCACACCTACTAGTATTTATTTGTTTATTTATTTATTTACATATGAATTAATTTATGCTTTATAGATGTGAATTAAGGTGGAATCCACTGTGGAGTATTTAGCACACAGCATAATTTTGTCAGTTTCATTATACATTTCTTCCCTTTCCCATCCGTCCCTACCCTTGCATTTTCCTTCTTCTACTCCACGGATCTTTGTAAGGATTCTGTATTTAGGATTAAGGTCTCTGATAGCTTCATGACTATGGCAAATGCTTGGTGGCTAGGGGAGTTTCTGTGCAGAACCGAAATACTTGGCTGCTAGGGAAACTCCTGTGCAAAGACACAGGATGCCTAGCTGCGGTAGCAATGCCCCACATCAGGAGGCTGTGTGCTAGAATCTTATCAGCCTTGACCTTGATCCCAGCCACATAGCTCCTGGGAATAAAGGAACTCACTTGCTAGATAACTACAATGCTTCACCAAGCTCTGGTGCTTCTGGACCTGCCACTAACAGTAACTTTAAACAATGACTTTCTTGAGAGCTATACAAAGTTTCTAACATTGCACATTGCAACTATAGTGTGTAACTGAGGAATAAGCTGCACAATGTTGCTAACTCTGTAACCTACCTAATGACACAATAAACAATAATGTAGTTATGGCACTAATGATCTAATGGAACCTATTGGTATAAATAAATGGGGCTGCTTGGACAAGCAGCCATCTTTCCTGTCTCTGCATCTTGTCTCTGTCTCTCTTTTTTTCCCTTACAGATCTTCCCTCTATCTTTATTATATCAGAGCCCCCCCCCCACACACACGCACATATATTTTCCAATTACTCAGCTCTAGCTTCCACATATGAGCAAAAACATTTAACCCTTCTCTTTCTGGCTTTGGCTTGTTTCACTGAGCATGATGTTCTCCAGTTCCATCCATTAACTGACGAATGCCATAATTCCATTCTTTGTTATGATTTAGTAATACTCCACTGTGTATATATACACCACATTTTTCTTAATCTGTTCACCTATTGTTAGGTGCCTGTGCTAGTTCCAAACTTGGTTCTTGTGAGTTATACATTGGTGTGGCTGTACCACTATACTCTTCTGAAATTAGAGATGGATAAATACCAAGGAGTGGAATAGCTAGGTAATCTTAGGTTTCCATTAGTATTTTGAGGAATCTCCATGCTACTTTCCAAAGTGGTGGTACTAATATGCAGTTCCACTCACAGTGTATGAGTGTACCCTTTCCACAGCATTTATTATTTGTGTTCTTGATAATTGTCATTCTAACTGCAGTGAGAAGATATCTCAATATATTTTTGATTTGCATTTCCCTAATTGCTAGGGATGTTGAACATTTTTTCTCATATTTGTTGGCCATTTGTATTTCTTCTTCTGAGAACTATCTGTTCAGTTCTTTTGGTAAAATGGATAACTTTATTGGAATGAGTCCATTTGTCAGGAGTGTGGTGATCTTTACATATAGTTCCTCTGAAGCACCCTCTGCCTACATTTGTCACCAAGTGGTGACCCAAGTTCATGCTCTCTGCTGGATCCCACAGTGTCACCAGAGTCCATGCTCAGTACTGAACTTCAGTCCATGCCCTGTCCTGGACCACTGCCATGTCTGAGGGACAGCCAAACCCAGGGTCCACTGGATTACAGTGATCTCTTGATGACCCTGGAATCCAGCTCTCTGCTGCAGTAGACTTTTTCTAGTGATAATAAAGTCAATCCTCTGTAAATGGAAAACTCTGAGTGACCCTGGAGTCAGAGCTGCCCTGGCTACAGTTACACTTACTGCCCCTCAGCCGCATGTGGTGCAATGGTCTGCAGTTATTCTTGGTGACACATGAGGCTCTAATTGTACTGTTTTTTTTTTTAATTTAATTAAGTTTTTTATTTAAACCCTTTACTTGAAAATGATTAAAACTCTTTCATATTACAGAAAAAATGCAAAGATAATACAGAAAATTCTCTTATACTGAAATTTCACTTTTTCTATTGCTAATATCTCACATGAATATGGTACATTTGACAAAACTAATGACCAATATTCATACATTGTGAAAACTCAAGTCAGTACTT